ACTACTGCTAATAGTACTAAACAACGGATATAAACATACATTATGTATATACTTTTTTTTAAAATACATTACATATTATTCACAGATAACACCTCTACAAAAAACAAAAGCAATAAATAATTATTATTTTCTGCATTTCTAAATCCATCACCGACCTTTGACTCCTCATCTTCATCCAATATGAACCCCTCCATGTACTGTTTCTTCAGCGAGTACACGCGGCGGCCTTTGGTGGTGGTGAACATTTTGGCCGCTTTGCTCTTCGCCTCCGATATCGTCATGGTCGGGTTGAATTGCTTCAGCAGTCTTTCGGCGAAGTTTTGACCGGCACCTTTAAGTCATTCATCATCATCGTCTAGAGTCATTTGGTTTCTACTTGGAGGCTCTAAGCTACAGCTAATCATTTGAGATTTAATAGCTTTTTCTATAATATATCTAAACTTTACAATACAAAAGTTGTATTCTTAAAGTAACTTAATCCTATTATCCTACTATGATATTATAAATGTGAAAGTTTATGAGAGGGTGGATGTATGTTTTTACTCTTTCACGCAAAAACGACTATTGTTTACACATCAAATTTACATAATATAGGCTATAATTTATAATGATCTGTGACAAAGATAATTTCACGCGGGCGAAGCCGCGGGTAAAAGCTAGTCTATTTATAATTTTCATATTCATTGTAATTTTTACTATTCCCTTTTGTTCAACATTAAGAATAGAATAAAACCACCTGAATAAATACATAATTAAGTAGATAGTGTTATCTTTCGACTCATGCCTACCGCATAGGGTATACAAATACATATTATCTGTCTCATAATTTGAAACAGTCACGTATCGCCTTCGTGGCGCAATCGGTTAGCGCGTTCGGCTGTTAACCGAAAGGTTGGTGGTTCGAGTCCACCCGGGGGCGGCCAACTTTTTGGGTTTTGAACTACCGCAGTAAATATTATGTCAATATTGTTTTAAAAAAAATATTTTTAAATAAAATGTGGACTGACTAGATTTTTTTTTATTTTTATTAACTTTTTTTTTTCAGAAAATTTTGAAGTAGGTATGTATGTATGGCTTAACCTCTTTGTTAAAATGTAGTATACCAACACTTTTTTCTTTTTCAAAACTAGCAAAATACTGTCGTTTTTGGACTCGTAAATTCTTAGTTTAGTCTATTTCATCATAATTTTATTTAATGCCTGCCTACCACTGGACACAAGCCAAGGAACGCTCAGTCAAATGATTTCCCATTTTCCTCCAGCCACTATAAAATTCACATTCTAAACGTGTAGATAAGTCTTTTTCAGAGCATTTATAAATGCTTGCCATACCACCACATCCAGAAAACAATATCAGTCTATTTCTAGGCCAGTTTTATCAACATCTTTTGTAGTTTTCTCTTCAAGCATCTTGATACGTGTCTCTTAAAATCACACTTAATATTTTTATGAATTTCTTTGTAAATCATCAGATCATCTGGACATGCGGATGCTTGATTAGAAGTATAATAATAACCACGTAATGAAATTACTGTAACAATATTATACGACATTATACCTATATAATTACAAAATAAGCATTCGTGTAGTAAGGGCTTGTTACAAATGAAAGACACTGTAACCCAAGTATTACAATTTAAAAAAATCTCTAGTCCCACTGGAACCATCGTGTGAGTAATATGTCCCATACACCGGCGAGGCGCGGCCCGCTGCCGGGCCCTGGCTCGAAGGCACACGCGCCCCCATATCAGAGTTCTGCTAAGCTTTCTTTTAATTGCGTCGCATTTATAATGTTGTGTAGTGAATAATAAACATTTGCATTCTGTTCTTATAATGTCTTGGCTACAGAAACTAGAAGCGCTCAATTACCCTGTATCCTGAAATAAGGCTTGCAGTAAACGAAGGGTGCATATTGTTTATATTTGATATTACTACTATAGCTTTGTACATTGTTTCTGATAAGCGATGGGAACTGTGTCTATCTAATAATAAAAATAAAATTATTTACACGATTTTGTGAAGGTCGCGGGAAAGACCTGTATGCGGGCAGTGCAGGACTGGCCGTTGTAGAAATCCTTGTGAGAGGTCTTTGTCCAATCCAATAGACGTCATTTGGCTGAAATGAACGAACAAAATAATGTAATCTCTGTTTATTTACCATATATTCTGGCGTAGTTGATGACCTTGGCGTGGTCGCGCGATATGGCGGCGGCAGCGGCGGTCAGTGAGTGCAGGTCTGTCTTAGTAGACTTGTCTCCGGCTAGCACGGCCCAGCCGAAGGCGGTACCTCCGCAAAGGCCAAGCGATCTGTCCCCGAACAATGCTGCTATCCAAAGTTCCTATATTTGTGGTACACGCCGTATATCCTTGCGTAGTAGATGACCTTAGCGTGATCTTCGCAGACTTTTCTCCAGCTAGCACGGCCTAGACAAACAGCGTTGCTATCCAGAGCTCCTGTATGTATTGTGGATAGTTCTTACCGTATATCCTCGCGTAGTTGATGACCTTGGCGTGGTCGCGCGAGATAGCGGCAGCGGCGGCGGTCAGCGAGTGCAGGTCGGTCTTCGTAGACTTGTCTCCGGCTAGCACGGCCCAGCCGAAGGCGGTCCCTCCGCACAGGCCTAGCGAACTGTCCCCGAGTAATGCTGCTATCCAGAGCTCCTGTTATAGGAATAATTTAGACTGAGAAATGATGAATATTGTCTTTTCTATCAATACAGAATCTCACAAAACTATAATTTCACACTCCACTTGCTCACAAAAAACATAAGTAATATTTTAGCATTTAAAACTACTAGACTAGGCAATTTTCCCGTTCTCTTCTACATTTCGAAATTGCGAAGCGTTGAACAATTGTTTAAAAAGATATTTCTAAACTAAACGTCACTTTAAACAAGTATTCAACGCATGTGTACCTTTTGTTAGGGGAGTATGTGTGGCTAGGAACCAGAACCGCGGATCCTTGCGAAAGGTTAAGTAAATCCTTTTACCCGCGCAATTTTTAGTGTGAGTATCTAGTTAAAGTGCATGAAAAACATATTTAGACAATTTCATTGCACTTTAAACCTTATTGCAGCGAAATAAGTTCCACCAATACCTGCGAGTCGACATCAGCGCCTACAAACTTGTGTCCCGGAGGCGCCTGCACCATGGCACGCAGTTCGGAGCCCACGCGCTCCGCCTGCGCGTTGCTCGCCGTCATCCACGTCGGCTCGCTCGCTCTGTTAAAGAGAGGCTAGCTACAGATCCATTAAGAACTAAGTAAACTTTGTTTACTATAAAACTAAGCATTGGAGTGGTTCGCTTCTTTTCATGCATCAATGCTTACTCCAGCGCCGACATTATGCGACGGTTTGTCGTTTTTATGTGGTTTGTGATATAGTATATACAATGTATGAGTTGTGCTGCGCAGTGTCACACGAGTACGGCCGAACGTTATGACTGACGGTCTTCATTCACGCACTCCAATTGCCAAATTGCAATTTGAATACAGTTGCCAAACCACGCCTCAATTAAACTGTACATTGATTGCAATTGGACTGCACGACCGGATGGCATTTTCTCTGTTATCATGCCGAGTCGCCTGTCTAGACTCACCCGGCTCTCCTTGGCATCATACTACAACTCTTACCTTCTAGTAAGCGTCCCACACATAACCACTTGCGGCACAATGGCTCCGCCTTAGTTGAGCCGGCAGCAGTTCTTGTGGCAACCATACCACTTGCTGGCTCATGATAGGCTCGCGGTTCCGCCAGTACATGATACTACACTTCACGTCTATTAAAAGTCCTGCAGAACCCTAAATAACATCGTACAGCCGTGTGCCAATCAGTTGAGCCACCTATGGCTCATCTGGAAGTTCCACAATATCTTTTGTCAATGCCACTATTTATAGCCTGACCAGGAACATAAAAACCCTGGCATAGAGGCGCGTCAATTGCATTTGATAGTGCAACACTGGGTACAGTACAGTCGTACCTGTATTAAATTAATAGGCTAACTTTATGTATCAAGATTCAGGATTATGGGCTAATTTAATATTTTCACAAATTAACAAAAAATATTATAAAACAGGTAAACTGGTTTAAATAAATTTAATGAAACCATCAATCGAGCAAGTAGGATTTTATTATTATTCATCAATAATCAAATTCTAAACTTGAATATTCAACTACAATGTCTGCTCATGAACGCTTCAAACTCGGTACTTCTTTCCCAATTCCATAAAATTCAACACTTACAAAGTTACAAAAAACTTTAAAATAGGTAGTTGAAACAAACCACAGCTAATTTTCATAGTTGACTGTACTATACGATAAACATGTCAGTCAATTTGACAACCTTTGTCGGAAACATTATTCAATGAAAATATTGTCCGAACCCTTAGTATTTCTCTTCGACAAATACTTTAACACATNGGCTATACCTTCTAGTAAGCGTCCCACACACGACCACTTGCGGCACAATGGCTCCGTACTGCCGCGTGCCTCTCAGTTGAGCCGGCAGCAGTTCTTGTGGCAGCCACACCACTTGCTGGCTCATGATACGCTCGCGGTTGTTCCGCCAGTGCATCATACTACACTTTATCGTCTATTAAACGTCCTGTAGAAAACCTTAAATGACACCGTACAGCCATGTGCCAATAATTTGAGCCACCAACGGCTCTTCTGTCAATGCCACTACTTACCTTCTAGTAAGCGTCCCACACGACCACTTGTGGCACAATGGCTCCGTACTGCCGCGTGCCTCTCAGTTGAGCCGGCAGCAGTTCTTGTGGCAGCCACACCACTTGCTGGCTCATGATACGCTCGCGGTTCCGCCAGTACATCATAGGTCACTTCACATCTATTAAACGTCCTGTAGAAAACCCTAAATGACACCATACAGCCATGTGCCAATCAGTTGAGCCACCTATGGCTCATCTGGAAGTTCCACAATATCTTTTGTCAATGCCACTATTTACCTTCTAGTAAGCGTCCCACACACGACCACTTGCGGCACAATGGCTCCGTACTGCCGCGTGCCTCTCAGTTGAGCCGGCAGCAGTTCTTGTGGTAGCCACACCACTTGCTGGCTCATGATACGCTCGCGGTTGTTCCGCCAGTGCATCATACTACACTTTATCGTCTATTAAACGTCCTGTAGAAAACCCTAAATGACACCGTACAGCCATGTGCCAATAATTTGAGCCACCAACGGCTCTTCTGTCAATGCCACTACTTACCTTCTAGTAAGCGTCCCACTTACGACCACTTGTGGCACAATGGCTCCGTACTGCCGCGTGCCTCTCAGTTGAGCCGGCAGCAATTCTTGTGGCAACCACACCACTTGCTGGCTCATGATACGCTCGCGGTTGTTCCGCCAGTACGACATCATACGCCCAAAGGTAAGCACCTAAAATGATTTTTTTCTATAGACATATAAAGCTTAACACAGTGGCATTTTATGTACTTACAATAGGGGCGATTTTGCAATGGACTGATGTGCTCTCATCCTACTATCCTACTAATATTATAAATGCAAAAGTTTGGATGTATGTTTGTTACTCTTTCACGCAAAAACTACTGAACGGGTTTTGATGAAACTTTACAGTATTATTGTTTATAACCCAGAATAACATATAGGCTACAATTTATGACTATGTAACAAACGAAATTTCACGCAGGTGGCATCTTATGTTGTTATAATAGGGGCGATTTTGCAATAGACTGATGTGCTCTCATTTGCACACTGCAACCTAATACAAATGGGTAAGAAAACTTTTAAGACTCTTAACAAGTTCATAATTGAAAATAAAAATCTATATCAAGTCAAATGATCATTAAACTAAGATTGATTTATAGAAACAAATTGAAAGCTCCCGACAAGTCACAACATATACATAGTAATGTAGTGTTATGTGGTACCTTTTCCGCCTCGTTCCCTTGTGCAGTCAACACATTCTGACTGAACATATCCAGGAAGTCTTTCGCCAGGGGATTCCCCACTTTGTACTTCGGTCCATCTTTGTGCGGTAGTCGCAAGAAGTGACAGCAACCTGCAAACAAATTATATTATACTTTGCGGTTTAAATATATGCCATTCGAACTGTGACGTCACATCGACGCTCTGGTACGGACGGTACGGTGTGGTAAGTGGAAGAGAGAGTCGCATTCCAGAGGTGCGCAGTTAGCTTAATCGGGTTGTACTGTGACTATTGTACGATGGATTATCACCATGATTGAATAAGTACCTACCTTGTATTTGTACGCCGCACCATACGCCTAAACCATGGTACTGGTTAGCCGCCGCTTGCTCGTCGAATTTCTTCCGAGAATAGTACGCTCGTCTGCCCAAATCCTCCTACAAATAATATTAAACTTTTTAATAACTAAAAAAGTACACAAGTAAACCACAACTGTAATTTCTTCGGACGCTGGTCGGCTGTATTAAGGACAATCTGTTCAGGGGATTCTCAGATGGTTCAAACCAAGTCCAGGTGTGGTTGTGTTCCCAGTCGATGAAGCAGATGGTGTCGTGCCCTCCGTGTCCAAACAACTGCACGCAGGAAGATTTAATGAATGCTACTGACAACGCCACTCTTGTATATGTTACGGTCAAAGTGATAAATGTGAAAATTATGAATAATCGCCAGTTATTATGAATAATTACCGCATGATTTGGTAAATGTGATTAATATGAGGTCATTTATGTGTGTATAAAACTAAATAGGCGGCTTAGGGGTGGCCCAAGGGCCACCCCCGCCGCACCTTAACCTATTTTTCACTTTAAATCAAAGCATTATGTTATAGGCATCATGGAAAAGTAATATTATGCAAGAAACATTCCAAACTCATTATGCCAAATTATATTAATATATGATATCAAAACGTTCAAAAGTTTGGCTTTACACGAGCACATACACAAGATGTTGTTCTTTTTTATAAAATTTGTTAGTACTAAGGTTGAATTATTAAATAATCACTGTTAAATGTGATTAATTTATCACTTTTACCGCGACTGTCGGTAATTATTCATAATAACCGGTTATTATTAATAATTTTCAATTTATCACATTAACCGTAACATATACATATAGTAGAGTTTTGACAGTGTAGGTTTCTTGTCGATATGACAAGAAAAAAAATTCTTTTTAAAACTAACCTCAACAGTCTTTGGTAACAAATGCACATTGGCGTCGATGTCACTCTGCTTACAAAACGCCATAGGACACGCTGCTAACAGTTCTTCTAGAGGCAACAAGGGCTCTCCTTCTGTCTCCTTCTGCGTCCTGCTAAAGGGCACCAGGAAGCCCCACCCTTCTTCTTGAATGTAGTGGAGGGGATACCCTTCCCAGGATAGGCGGAGGAGTTTTGGAGTTATCTGTAAGAAAGAGTAAGTGGGCAAAGAATAGATGAATAAAAATACAAAATTACACAATTATTGAGCAAAGTAAACAGTTTTATATTAAAGAACTTCAAGCTATTTGAAACCGATTGACATAATTACATGAAGGACTTAAAATAGATCCCTGCATGACTCCATGACTATAAACACCACGGGCCGGAAGACGTAGCGTAGGCAGGCCTCCCACTAGGTGGACCGGTCGTTGTGGAAATCTTTGGGGGAGACTTTTGTCCAGCAGTGGACGTCATTTGGCTGAAATGAATAAACATTTTGGGAATAACTTACCTGCATACTAGTAGTAATATTGTTAGCACCTGGAGTCCAATCAGGATCTTTGCCAGGTTTCGTGCAAAGCTTTCTATACCACGCAGGGTAACCAGGCAAGTACGGCCTTCTTACTGGGAGCGACTCTGCCATTGCATACAGATATCCAAACTTTTTACTTAATTCTTTCACACCTTCTATTGTTTCTGATTCTTGTGTGTTTTTTTTAATATAATCTATGTATTCTTCATTTAAAACTTTAAAATCTTTTTCTTTAGGTGAACTTTTAGTCCTTTTTTCAAGATCTTCAACTGTTTCTAATTCAAATGGCGTGTTATCTTTTTTCTTTTTGGCAATCTTTTTTAATTTCAGCTTTTGAGTCGACCAGTCTTGGTCCCACATCCATAGATCTTTCTTATAAGCGTCATTCGCCATCATGTGACAGGCTTCATCCGCCTTTTGGGATAGCAGTTGTCGAGATTCTAATTTCAAGTCTTCGAAGACGGTTTCTGCTGCGTCGATGTATTGAAGCCAGTTGGAGTTCACTGGGA